GGATATTGAATTTAGATAAATGGAAAGGATATATGAATTGTGTGGGAGTGCTTCTGAATTAAATTGGCCTAATTGTGTTAAATTGAGATAATGGGAAGAATTTAAACCCAGAAGAAATTATGAAAGATTATTGATCAAACATATTAAAGATGTTTGTTAAGTTTAAAATAAATAAATTGATTAAGTGACTTTAGATTTAATAGATCATTTATTAATATTAGATCCAGAGAAAAGGTTAAATGCAGTGTAAGCTTTGAATCATGATTTCTTCAAGCAAGAACCAAAACCTTGTTAACTTAGTGAAATGCCTTAATTTGAAAAAGAATTCCATGAAACATTGTTAAAAAATGAAATGAGATTACAATAACAAAGACTTGAAAGACAATAAATTAGACCATAATCAACAACAACATAGAAATTTTAAAAGGTTATGCGAGATGAGAGAAATACATCTAAGCCTTAATAATAATCTCCATCCAGAAATAAACAAGAACTAGATTTTGAAGATATATTAAAACTTGAACTTGCAGAAGAAAAGAAAAAAGTAAAATTAAATTGAATATGATTTCTATATATCAAATTAATATGAAGCTTGTATTGAGCGATGGTGTTCCATTTTATAACAAATCTTGAGTTATTGGTTTAATAGTCAATACTTACTTCATTTACTACTTAGTATTTTCATGATGTTTGTTAGTTATTTGGTAAAAATTTAATAAATATTCAAAATTTTAAAATCACATAATATAATGATGCTTGTAGTAAATTATTACCTATTAACACTAAGATTAAATATAACCTATGTATTGTGAATAGATTGAAAAATAATAAAAATGTATTATGGAGTATTTTTAAATTTGAAGATCATTAATTAATGATATTTAGTATTAACATCCATCTTCTCTAGTCTGAATCAAAAGTTGAATTGAAGATTATGAATAAATATATATCCTATTTACTTTTAAAAACATAACTAATTGCCATTTTCACTTTCTTAGAATTTTGTCTATTTTAGAAAAAAATTTCTTATAATGAGGTTCTCTTATTTATAAATATCTTTTTCATATTTATCTACATTTAGTACTACATATCCAAATTAATATGGTCTAAATTTCTTTAATTATTTAATTCAATCTATTAAAAATAGGATTAACATTCATTATACTATTGTAAACTTAACTAGTACTATTATGTTCTAAAATACTGTACTTAAAAATTAATATTTATAGATATAATCATTATAAGAGCATTATTCATTAGAGAAGAATAAAAATAGGATAAATAAATAAAAACTTTTTAGTCTAACAATATTATCCATCATTAATAATTATAATACTTAACAATTTAAATAAGGTTTCAAATTCAATATAATAATTATTAATTAGCTAATATAAAAATAGAAATCATTTAAAAAAACAGAGAGTTTTAGAAATTTATTGAATAATGTATCATCTAAAAAAGAGTTTCAATTCAATTTTAAACTCTTTTATTTAATTTTACCTTTAATCTTGTTTTTCATTTAGCCTAATTAATTAAAGAATTAAAATATTATATATATGTGTATATAAAACAATCTTTATATTAATACAATAAAAATTAAGAATTTTCTTATTGATTAATTTTGACTTTATTTCAAAATTCACTCTGATTTTATAAGATTTTTAAAATTGGCAACTATTTTCAAGAACATCTTCAGTATATTATTTTATGATCTATTTCAATCTCATCAGATCAAATATCTGTGTAAATGGTATTATTTTTATTTTGAATTAAGCAATAAAAACAAATATCTTACAGCTTTTATTCCCTCAATAACTAATTGATAAATTATAAATTTATAGGTAGCTGATAATCTTTGAATTCTAAAAAAAAGGTTAATAATGATAAGAAAAATGAATTATATTTTTATCATTCCAACATATTGAGAAATTTTTTATTTAGATTTTTTACAAGTGGCGATAATTTCTAATCTTTAATTTCTTCTTTTATTTCTTCAATAGGTTCTTCGTCAATTTTTAGTAAAACATGACTTACATATTCAACCTCTTGTGATGGTTTTGAAAAGAATATTTTACAATTAATGCTAGTTTAAGATCGATTATAATTGCTGTTAATTACTTACTGTAAATCTTTTTCACTCTATTGCTTTGTTAAACATGAACTTCCCATTTTTTAATTAATTTTATGAATTAATAAAGTGTGTTCAATTCAAAATTGCAATAAGCCTTAGATTGTCTTGTTGATGATGCTCTTAAACCATTTGATCCTTATAGATTTGTAACTATAATGGAAACAAAATAAATTTAATAAGGGAGTGCTGAATAACCAAATAAAGTTAATAAAGAAATTCCACACGAATTGAAAAGTTAAAAAACTCGTGAAACTCTGTACTTATTATAAAATAAGATTAAGCAAGAATTACATGTATTTTATTTACTAAATGAATTTAGGAAAGATTTTCAAATATTACTACGAAAACAAATATTCCAACAGTACTTGAACAATTTGAAGAGCAATATTATTAAAGATAATGTCTACGAAACTTAGACATATATTAGGATTAGAGAGAATTCTTAATTTGTTCATAGAATTACGATGAAGATAATCTTATAAATTCACTAATTAATGAAGCTATTTTTGATTCAATATAATAAAATATATGAACAAAAAATTAAAGATAAATCTAAAATAATTAAAAGTATTTACTAATCTAATTTTATTAATATGATTGAATTTAATATAAATAGAAAAATTAATAGTTAAATAATATCAATGAATTTCTAATTAATAGATTCTTTTGTATAAAATTAATATAATTATAAATATAAGATATAATGATTTATTAATCTATAAAAAATCATAAAATTATGTTATTCTATATTATAAATTTATTTCATTAGTTTTATGATATAATTTCTTCTACTTTTGTAATTGAATTAGCTGATGGGTTCCAGGGACTATTTTATATAAAAGGATATTATTACACAACAAATTATTGAACTTCAAAAATTCTTTTAGCATCTTCTTTTTCATATTAAACAAGAACTTTATAGTTAATTCCTGCTACGACTTGAGAAGTCACTTGTAGTAACTTTTCATATTGATATCCATCTTAAGATAAATTAAATTTATCTTCAATTGCATCCTAAGTAGATTTGATTATGTTATTGTTTTATTGTTCAAATTCATCTAATGGTTACTTAAATTTTTAAACAAATAATACTTTAATCCATCCTCCTGACATTTATTTTTCTTATAAACTTGATTAATGTTCTTGAATAATTTAAGATAATTTATGTCTTAATCCAATAGTTTCAAGACTGCAATTTGCAAAACATAAAATTAGAGCTATAAGTAATATTGCTTTCATTAAATAATAATAATAATATAATATAATTAAAAAATTACATAAATTTCAATCAATTTTTAGGTATAGGATCATCATGATCAGCAATCAAATACATAATACTAGCAATAGCAATAACATTGTCATCCATATCATCAGCATTCATCATCCACATAGAATCTCCAGCAGTATGATGATATGTGAAATAAAAGTCATGTGTATCATTATCAACTATTTTGTTGTTCATAACTGGAGTTCCAGTTACAGTTCTTAATGCTCCACTATCAGCTTAACTTCCAGCATTAGGATATATCTTCTCTGCTCCTATTCCAGTCAAATATTCTTATGCCAAATAAGTTACGAGTTATCTAAATTAATAAAATAATCAATATACGTGAATTTTTCTCCTGCTGTTACACCAAAACCATATGGTTTAGTAGATCCAAGATCTGATTCAAATGCAACTATATGATTTTCTTAAGAATGAGTTTTTGCATAATGTTAAGCACCATTATTAGCCATACCCATTTCTTCTCCACTCCAAGCTATAAATCTAATAGTTCTCTTAGGTCTTATTCCTAAATATTTCAAAACTTTTAAAGCTTCTAAACATTCTAATACACCAGCTCCATCATCATTAGCACCTGTCTAAGATCCAACATCCCATGAATCCCAATGACCACCCATTAATAATATTTCATCTGGATATTTTGATCCTCTTATTTCTGCCAATATATTATCACTTGTAGTTTTATATTATTATCCACTAGTTTTAATTTCAATCACAACTTTCTAACCTCTTTATCTCATTCTATCTATCATATCTGCATCTTCAACTGTAATTGCAACAGCTGGATATTTTATATTTTAATAATTTGTCATTCCCTTTATTTATAATTAAATTTACATACCGTATGTGGTGACGATATTGAAACACTTGCAACACTTCTTATAATAGTTCCTATTGCACCTGCCTCTTCTGCTAATTTTGGTCCATTTGTTCTAAATTATACACCAGATGAATATCCTTTCCATTCATAATTAAAACAAACTATCTTCCCTTAAACATTTATATTTTTTAATTCTTCAAACGAATGAACTACTTCAACTTCTGCTTTAACAGTTCCTGCTGGACTCCATCCTAAACCAATCATATTCAATTTCTATGGATATTATCTTGGCTCAAATAAAGTTACACTTTCTTCACCTCTTTTCCAAGATGTGATATCTCCTAAATTCTCTTTCCAAACCTTATCAAATCCATAAGTTTGTATCTCTTCCACTAAAGCATCTACTGAATCAGCCATATCTTCTGAACCCCACATTCTTGGACCAAATGTATCTACATAATAAGCCAAACGATTATAAGATGAGTGGTACAATGGAGAATATGGATTTTTTATGGTTTCTCTAATTTACTAAATATATATATGAGTATAATACTTATATCACTTATTATTTGATTTAATCTTTTTTGTTTCTAAGCATGTATCCATTTATGTTTAAAAGCAAAACTAAAAATATGATAATTTTCATTTTATATGAATTATATAAATTAAAGGAAAAAAATAAAAGAATTAAATATTCTAAAAAATGATAATATATAAGGAATTCTTAAAGAACTTATTTTGAATATTATTACTAATTATTAAATATGATTTCCAACATTTTCAAACCAAAAAAATAACAGCTTATTCAAGAGGGTTAACAAAACATCACTTTAGGTAAATTAGTCAAATTCTCTCACTATGAAACCATTTTCAAATATTCTTTCTTTGCGGTTTTATGTAACTTAGTATTTTATTGGTCATAGTTGTTATATCTTTGTATAGCTTAGATGTCATACAATTTTAATAATTCCTTAAAGAAAAGAACCTTAGAAGATTTGATTGGTCTGATCTCAAATGGATGATTATAGGATTAATCATGATTCATGTAAATTAATATTTTTTATAAATTTAGATCACAAAAGAAATCAATAGATATTTAGTTTTCGATTATGTTTCTAAATCATTAGATTAAAAATATGTTGGTTTGGATAGATAATTAAGAGTTTAAAAAATTATTAAATGGATTTACGATACTTTCTACTATTCAATAGCTACTATATTTGCATATATTGTTTTTAAAGATGAAAAATGGTTTCCAACTGAATTAGGTGGCTCAAATTTCACAGAAACCATGTATGATTTCCCAAATATGCCTGATGTATAAATTAAAAAAATTCAAAATAGAATCCTTGGGTTCCATTCTATTATATGATCTAAGCTTCAAGTCATGTACATGCTTTATTATTATTGATGGTCTATGGCACAAAAATAGAATTGAAATATTGGGAATATTTACTACATCATTTTCTAGCAGTAAGTCTGTTATATTTTTCAACTATTTATAATTGTGAAAGTATCGGTATTGTTGTCTTGGTACTACATGACATTAGCGATATCTTTTTGGCATATGGAAGAACTTATGCTGATATTGGAAAGAATAAAATACTTGTTTATGTGAGTTTCTCAGCAATTCAAATTTCTTGGTTATACACTAGAGTCTATGTATTCCCAATTAAGATTTATGATATTATAGTAAATCATCCTGGATTTTCTCTTTATTGGTATTAATTAAATACTATAATAAAAGGGAAAATACAAAACATGCATTGTTCAATTAAGTAGGTTTGATGATAGTACTTTTTGGAATGCACATTTACTGGACAATTTTTATGGTTAAAGTAGGTATTGGAATCTTCTCAGCTGGTAAATATAAAAATGTATATGATAACAGAGAGAATAAATTAGATAATAAGAAAGAAAATTGATTAATAAAAATCATAATATATTGGTTATATATTATTTAATTAATATATATTTATGTTTTTAATACTTCTTATCTTGATTTCTAACTTAATTAATTTATAATAAAGAATACAAAAATTTATTAATTTATTAGATATATAATAAAATTATTTATGTATATACGAAAAAATGAATTCTACTCTCAAAATTTAATGTACATTCATCAAATTAAAATCCAATCCCGAAATATAGAATTTATCAATTAAATCTTATACTTTTGGGAATACCTTATTTTGAAAAACATTATCAAAACCAAAATTCTTATTTTTAAACAGATTTATAGTTTTTTTTATAAATTTTACAATTATCAAAATGGATGTTCCTATCAATAATTTCAAAGGAGTAATGCTATGTAACAGGCCAAATGAAAATGTTATGATAGTAAAAGAAAAGTATTGTTATAAAAATTATTCAGGCCATTCTGTTCAAGAGTATAACCTTATGATTAATGGGGATTAACAAAAAAATATGAAGAACCATAAGTGGTTGTACCTCAAACTAATCCTGTATTAGAGAGACATAAGAAATGGTTAGAGGAATTCAAACTCTAAAATTAGATTAAGAAACATGCAAAAGAAGAATTATAAGCAAGAGAAGATGAGAAATTTTTAAGAGTGAGAGAATTAGCAAAGAAAGATAGAGAAGTGACAAAAAAGATGAAAGAAGATTATAAATAGATGAATGAGATTATTAAAAAGGAATTATAAGAAGAAGTACCAAAAAGTAAAACGTAAAACAATTTTAATATTTATTAAGAGTGGCATTAACAGCAGAAAACCTAAAAAAGTTAGAAGAAAAAGATTCTAAATCTGAAAGTAAACCAGGTGATAAGAAAAAGAGATATAAAACAAAACCAGTTTGGGCAATGACTAAAGAAGTAATTAACAGTTATAAATATTAAATAATAGGAAGAAGAATAACATGTGAAGAATGAAGAAGATGAACTTTTGAATTTCGTTGAAAATTTAGATTATGATTCATATATAAATGATTTAGAAGTAATTAATTCAAATAATTTAGGTTAATGTTATGCTTAAAGCTTTATAATAAAGAGTTATTGATATTAAAAAATAAGAGTATTAATAAGAAAAATTAGATAATCAACCTGAATAAAAGTAAGAATAAAGAGAACCTGATATTTATGATAAAATTAGTTAATCATTAGGTAAAAATGATGAAGCAAGATCAGTACATTCTGAAAAGACTTAAAGTAATTTAGTATCTAAATTAGATTCCATTAATTAATTAAGAAAGAAGTAAGAATTAATAGAAGCTGGAAAGTAAGATTGGGAAAAAACAACTACAAATGGAGATTAAAAAGCATCATTAGAAGATAGAATTGCAAAGCATGTTGCTGATGAAATTCTTAATTAATATAAAGTAAAAATAAACATTTACTAAAATAGAACCTCTCAAATATACATTCTAATTCTTCAATTAGAAAAATATTAGAAAGAGAAGCCAAAAAGACTCTTTTAGAGACTGGAATACCAGGACCTGTTATTTCAGTAATAAAAAATGAGAAGATGCCTAGGGATCCCAATACTTTGCCTTACTTACATCGTAACCCAGCCATTTGATTTATCGATTACATTTTAAAAGAGGCATTTGCTGTATATGTAGATTTTATTACATTTAATAAATAACAAAATTAGAATAATTCTTTGAGATATAATCAATCAAATTTCTTTCATATTTCCATCCTCTGGATTATCATAATTTGGAATTTAATCTTCAATATGTGGAGTTAGTGATGTGACTAATGGAGCATCTCCATATTATAATACTCTAACTGTGATATTAAAGTTTTCTTCATCTTGTAAAACTGATGATTTTGTATCTTATTACTATTCAAATACCTCCTCAAATCCTACTTTCTTATTATTTTGCATTCTCTTAAAATAAACAGCTAACAACATCACAAATAATCCAACAAATGAGTAATACATCAATGCAAATACTGCAACTTAAGAATTATATCTTTCCATTAGAAATCCATAAATTGATGGGGCAGGTAAAAAACCGAATAAGTTTTGAAACATTGTTGTACTTGAATTTGCAAATGCTTTTAAATGTTTAGGAACTGAAGAAAGCATTATTCCCATTAATGGAGGTACTATTGCTCCTCCAAAAAATAATAATAACCAAAGACATAGAGCTCCAAACCAGAATGTCTCTGTAAAAGGTACTGGAGCAGCACTAATACAACAAAGTGAACAATATAAAACACATACATATAAAGATTTTGTTCTTTAATATCCACCTAATTTCTAGGCTATTAATCCTCCTGTAATACAACCAAATACAGGAGCAGTTATTGAAACTATTGCAAATACAATATTGACTGTTTATTTCTCTTAATGCATCTCTTTTATCATATAATCAGTCATCCAAAATTAAATACCAGTTACAATAAAGTATAGTATACTGATTACTATAGTACAGCATAACCATAGTTTTATTGAATAGAGTTCTTTCATCATTTACCAATAAGTTTTATTAGGGCTTTGTTAAAGAAGTGAACGATTTTATTAATCTTCATTAATAGACTTATTTCCAAATTTGTTTTTAGTACTCTTTTTTATGTCAAAGTCTTTATTCTAAACAAAAATTATGAAAGTTGTTGCACAAACAGTTAACATAATTACTTATGCATAAAAAGCCACTTGCCATTACCATACACTAGAAATAACACTTGATAAAGAATATCCAACAAATATGCCAAGTGGAATTACTCCTTGTAGAATAGTTATCCAAATTGTTTTTTATTCATCTCCAAAATTATCAACCCAAACAGGAAAATAAATCATCATAGGTGCCTATGTTATAATAATTAACTACTTTTGAACAGCCTGTAAGAAATCTAAAAATATAATATGGCCAACTTGATCCATAATTTAAAGGGAATAAAGTTAAGGAGGATATCATTCCTAAATAACTAAACATAACTATCAGCTTTGAATTAAAATGGAGAAACAATTTTCCTCCAAACAAACAAACTAGAGTAACACCTGCATAAACTTATGATCCTAAATATCCCAATTATTCTGAAGTTAACTCAAGAGATTCTTCAATCTAAGATATTGCTGAATATTATATAGACTATACCTGCTGGAATGATACCTTAGTCTAGATTAATAATAATATTAGTGCAAAGTAGCAAACAAAAAATCCATCTTGGCTTAAATTCCATATGTTATTTTAACAAATGTTACGTAAGCAAGTGAATTAAGAACTAAAATTTGATTAAAAATGAATAGGAGATATATAGGAATTTAAGAATTTAAGAATTTTATTTAGATAATTCAAAGGATCATGAAGAATAACTAAAAAAAATAATTTAAAATTTACTATTGAGTAGTATTAACCTGTGTTTCATGAACAAATATAATAAAATTGACCTCAAACTAAATTATGAAAATTAGATTCGCATTTTATATTTTAAATAATTTTGGCAGCTTAAGACAGAAATAAAACATGAGGTTTCATTAGTTAAATAAATCAATCGAAGAGTATTTTTTTAAAAGGTCTAAACTTTTCAAAAGGTATTAAAAAGAAAAATTGAACAATATGTAGAAAATTATAAAAAATTTGTGGAAAATTTATAATAATCGTCAAAAATATCAATGTATTGATTAAAATACATAATAAGGAATTAAATTTACTTCCATATAGATTATATAAAATGTTTAATATACATTTTACTATTAAATACTTAAAGAGATTTATATTTTGTAATGATGTAGGAAAATTTGAATTTAAATCATTAAAATATGCAATAATTTAATTATTTTCATGTTAAGAAGGTCAATAAGTATATTAACATTATTTTACTATTTTTTTATATGTTTTTAAAAAAAAATTACATTTCTTTTTAAGTTCATGCAATTGTTAATAATTAATAGGTTTTATATAAATACTTAAATGTTCAAAAAATATTTATAAGCTTAAATTTTATGGCTCAATTATGATTTTTAGAAGAGGATGAAAAATTTAACTTTTTCTTAATTTCTATAAATTATTTTAACGGATGTTACATCAATTTTAGGAGTTGGAAAAGCTTGGTGCAGGGTCGTTTAGCGAAGTTTGGAAAGTATTTAGAATTATCTAGATAGGTTATGAGAAGAGCTGACCATCAAATTTATGCAATGAAGAAAATCAAGATGGGAACCCTTAATGAAAAAGAAAAATAGAACGCTCTTAATGAAATTAGACTATTAGCTTCTTTGAATTAAGAATTCATCATAGGTTATAAAGAGGCACTTTACATTGAAGGTATTACTTATCTCCCTATTATAGAAACATAAACTTTGGGAATTATAATGGAATATGCTGAAGGGGGAGATATTGCAAAATAAATTACTAATAAATAGAACAAAACATAAAAGTTTCAAGAATAAGAAATTTGGTAAGCCCTGATATAGATAACACAGGGTTTAAAAGAATTACATGAAAAATTGATATTTCACAGAGATGTCAAATCAGCAAACATTTTTATCTCAAATGGGATTTATAAATTAGGAGATTTAAATGTTTCAAAAATAGCCTAAAGAGGTCTATTATACACTTAAACAGGCACACCATGTAATTTTAGTTTAAGTAAATTGAGACTATGCATCGCCAGAAATTTGGAGAGACGAACCATATGATAACAAATCAGATATCTGGTCATTAGGGTGTGTTTTATATGAAATGTGTAATTTACATCCTCCGTTTCAAGCTTTGGATATGGAAGGCCTATATAAAAAGATACAGAAAGGACTCTACCCTCCTATAAATGGGTATAGTAATTAATTAGTTTAATTGATTGGATAAATGTTGAGACTTAATGCATCAGCTAGACCTAGTTGCGATTAAATTTTAAATAGTAATTTAATGAATTCTGATTTCAGTAGATTGTACATAAAAACCCCGAATATAGCTATTAATAAAAGAATGATGAAAACAATATAGCTTCCTAAAAATCTTAGCACTCTTAATGATATTTTACCAATAAAGAAGTACTACAATGAAAATAAAGAAAATGAAAATGAATCAGTTAGATACAGTGTTTAAACTTCAAAATTAATGCCATTAAATCGAAAATCAGTCAATAATTCTTGCATTGAATATGAGAAAAGATTTTATAGAATTTCTTCAGTCCATGAAGAAATATTACCAACTCTGCCATCTGAATATAAATAACCAAAGGTTTTATCAAGAAGAAGACCAAGTAGTTAATATAAAGAAGAGGAAATAAATTTAGAAAGAAGAGCTGAAGCAATTATCTCAAGAAAATAGTTATAAAAATAATTATCTGAATAGCATCCTTTACCAAAACCTATTCTAAAGAAATAAATGAGTAATCTTCCTTATTTGTACCGTAATGTGAATGATTCTGAAAGATAAGAAAATAATAAATCAAAATATCATCAATCTCCAAACAATTATGCCCGTAGGAATATTAGAAAATAAATTACTTCATAATAATGATTTCTATTTTTTAAATTATAAATGTTTATGATAATTTTCTTGTTTGTAATGGAAAGTATTTAAGAATAATGTGAAGCATATGGTGTTAGATTATTTTTAGGACATTATTATACAAGTTTAAAGATTGATACAGATGCATTAAGAATTGTATTCAATACAAAAGTATAATTTAAATTATTATATATAGAATATATGTAATAATTAGTTTTAGTTATTCATCAAAGGTGATCTAGAATTTAATATTACAAATTATAAAACAAAGTTATTAAATATGACAGATGTTTATATTGGTACTAAAGCAAATATAGAATATGAAACATATATACATACTTTCTAAATTCCTAAATAATTAAGTTCAATAGTATTTTATACTTTGATAAGCAATGATACTATAATTAAGTAAGCTCAAGTAAAATTGCCTCATCTTCAATAAGAGACAACTAAAGTATTATTTTTTGGAGATATGGATTCAAGTTGGGTTTATAATCGATCTAAGTAAACTTTTGATTGGTTTGAAAACTAAATAAAACAAAAAATTCAATTTGATAGTTTAATTTTCACTGGAGATATGGCATATGATCTTGAATCAGATAATTGTTAAAGAGGAGAACTTTGGTTAAGCAGAATCAGCTTATTTACTTCATAATATCCTTTTATGATAACACCTGGAAATCATGATGGAGGCTTTGATTATAAATACACTTTTCTTAGAGAACACTTTTAAATGTTATATCTAACTGAATATGACACTTAAAATTATTAAAATGACTTTTATAGTTTCAACATCGGCTTAGTTCATTTTATTTAGTATGATCCAGTTATGATTGTTTATAAAGCTGATCCAAACAATTACACTAAAGAAAGATTGCTATCATAATTTAGAAATGATTTAATTACTGCAGTGTAAAATAGAGAAGAAGTACCATGGATAGTTGTGTTTACACATTATCCAATATATTGTAACTTTATGGATGATGATCAATGTGTTAATAATTTTAAATATTTGGCTGAATTTGAAAAATTATTTAAAGAATTTCATGTAGATTTATATGTTTCTGGTCATTAACACAATTATTAAAGGAATTATCCATATTATTAAAATAATTCAGCTTCATTTGAAATGGATGGAAATATTTATTATAATTATGAAAGTCCAATTACTATTATAGAAGGAGCTGGGGGAGCAGATTATGGTCCAGAAATTATGATATGTAAAATATTATTATAATAAGATCGTGATTAACCATATACAGCTAAGCAATTAGCATAAAATGGTGTTGGTTTGCTTTAGGTGATGAATAAAACCCATTTATAATTTTAACATATACAAGTTTCAACAAATGAGGTAATGGATGAAATTTGGATAATCAAAACTTCTGACATTAACAATGAAAAAGATAACTCTCTTAAGTATTGGGTTATTTCCATAATTATCTCTGCTATTGTCATTTTGGTCTTATTTATTTTTATAAAATACAATGTAAGAAAATAGAAAACTTACTAAAAAGCATATGATTCAAATTTAGTTTGAATAATATAATTTTTTTTTATTAAATTTGATTTTTTATCTGTCTAAGTACAAAAATAGTAATAGAAAATTTTCAAAAGTTAGAAGAGTTATTAGATTTTCCTAAATTCATATTTTTTAAAATGAATGTTGAATCTTATGTTTTAATGTTTAAATTTTTGATACATTTGCTATTCTATCAATAAAATACAAAATTTTATTTCGATAATTTTTTCAAAATATAGAGGTTATTTTTAATAAATCATGACATCAGAAATATAGAATTACTTACTATAAATGAAAAATATCTGATTTCTTTGTTTATTTAATATTATTTTTTTACTCTCTTTTTATTTAAACTAAAATTTGATTGTTTAATATAGATAAATCTTTAAAAATCATATATTGTTTTTTTTCTTCTTTAAATTATATATAGTATTTTAGAAGATAGTTTCCTTTTCAGAACATTTACATGATTTTTACAATAATTTTCTTTATTTATCAAAATTAATAAGGAAGATTATTTCAAATAGGAATAGGTTCATCAAATTCAGAACATTATTGTTATTTCAAAACTAAATCATATTGACTATTAAAAAAATAAGAAACTTTGATTGGGCTTAAATAGATAAAATTTATTCCTAAAAAAAGAGATTTGAATGAATTTATTTTTAATTATTTTAATAAGAATAGCTTTAATATAAAATTGATTAAAATCCAAAACTATTTATCCTTTATAAAGCATAAAAATTTAACTAATTACACAATTTTTATAATTAATGACAATTAGAAACATAATTCAATAATAATTATTAAAAAATACCTTAATGAATTTCCTTTTTTGGATTATATTAAATAAAAGAATTACTTTTTCATAAAATTATATATTTATGAGAATTTGAATATTTGAAATTACTAAATTTTACTTATAACTTAATATATTATTATGATTATTTTAAATTATAAATGTTTATGATAATATTCTTGTTTTTAATGGAAAGTATTTAAAAATAATGCGAAGCATATGGTGTTAGATTATTTTTAGGACATTATTATACAAGTTTAAAGATTGATACAGATGCATTAAGAATTGTATTCAATACAAAAGTATAATTTAAATTATTATACATAGAATATATGTAATAATTAGTTTTAGTTATTCATCAAAGGTGATTTAGAATTTAATATTACAAATTATAAAACAAAGTTATTAA